CACCACCACCACCACCACCACCACCACCACCACCACCACCACCACCACCACCACAACTCGATTCACTGAGAGTGCGATGCTACCGTGTCTCTCCAACTCCTTCATAGATAAGTCCGGTAACATTTGTGAATCCAGCTTGTTGATAGCGGTGGAAAGTCGACAAGCCATCTACGTGCATCTTCTCATGATAAAAACCGTAAATAAGGCAAGTTGGTAAGCTCGTGGTCGAAAGTCCAAAACAATCCTATTTACCACATGTTTCTAAATCAGGAAATTAACTGCTAACTCATCGACTTCAGGCAAACTTCGAAATGTCTGGCCCGTAAACTCTTGATGAAACGATTTCTCAGGGAAATGCCGTAGTTGCAAGGAAATGCACGACCTACTCACAAAATGTCGAAATGGAATGACTATGCTACGCTGCATCTACAGTCCGTGTTAGGGTACATTTTTGCCAGTTTAAAAGTGCGTTATAATAATAGATTTTTCAGTTATACTTATGGTACAGTTATGAAACTACTAATGGATAATGGCGCCGACCCTACCTGTGCGCCTAACGATTTTGTAAAATAACTTTATAACTAATGTTAACTATTTTGCATTACGCCTCGATATCATTAATGATGACTTTATGTTGATTATTAAACAGTTGCCGTGTAAAGCTCATGCTAATTCAGTTGTTTTAATAAAATACATAGGATGTTCTCTCGACCAGTCAACTTGTGACGCGCGCCATTCGACTCACGTACGCCTGTTCTTTGTCCTCCTCTCCTCTCTCGCATTCTCGCCTTCCTCAAGGCACGCCCGTGAGTCCGAGGGCAACGCCAACCCTCCTCGCGGCCTTCCCTTTCCCCACCCTAACTCCCCCTAAGCTCTAGCACTCTGAATTTGTATGCGGTAGTACGGAATACATCCTGTTCTCCCAGCTATTCTATCGTGCGCCTGGCAGCTAACCATGACGGTGTGGCTATCTAAGAGGGACGGGCTAACAGCCATCTCCCTATTTAGTTCCCCTCTATCGGTAGGCGCGTTACAAACTCATTATGAACTTTACTATCACCAACGCTTTTTAAATCACACATCCAAATGGTTTCGCAAGAACACTAAGGGAACTTGTTTAAGTTGCCTTTAACCACACGTCCGCTCTCTTTGAATGCACGGAACTCATCGACCTTGACGACGTCCAAGACTTCACCCAGCCAGAGCATTGAAACACCCTTCAAACTATTAACTAAACGCAAAGAACGCCTCGTAACCCTTGAAATCCCAGCAAATCTCACCTAACCTCACAGTACAGCCGCGTGCTTTCAATTCGTGCACCTTTGCATGGAATACGTGTCCGCCAGCACTATCCCCAATGCGCAGCAACACGACTCGGCTCTCGTGTGCAGTGCCACCAAGTATTCAGCAAATTAATCATCCCGAGTTCACTGTGTGAAGCAAAATTTGGAAATAACACTAAATGGACTGTCGGATGCACGCCGACAACACCGGAAGCTTCACATGTCATCGGGTCGGGCGGCGGAAAAAAAACAAGTTAGCATTTGGCCGAGAGGGTGGGATGTGAGTGGGCTGCGAGGATTCAAGACTAACGCCTCATCACTACTGATAAAGCCATAGCAACGAGTAGAAATCCCGGACTAAAAAAAGTCGCATGTTTGGCATTAATTGGCGAAGCCTTCGGGCGACCAACCAGATTCACCACCAATTGAATGCAGAGAAATTCTGATTCTCAAGTCACGGAGCCCCACATGGATGCGAACCGAATCAATAGCAGAATCATTCAAAGCAAGCTGTGATATATGCTAATAATAAAGAAATATGAAAGTAGAGTGGAAGAAAGCAGTCTAGCACTGGCGTTCTGGCTTCTCCAGTCTCCTATGCCGGAGGATGCAAAGGCGGCACCAGTACGCGAACCCCATGAGGGCGACTTTGAAGAGAGGGGCCAGCAGGACCTCCAAGCCGGCAGCCAAGAGAGGGGGGAGGGGCAGGAGGAAGGCCTCTTGGGGCCGTGAGACGCCCGCCGTGGCCCAGGACAGCGCGTGGCCCGTGACACCGAGGAGGGAACGGCGTCTGCCCGCGAGGATGTCCCGCATGGCGTTGCTCGCCACCTCCTCGGGCGAGTAGAGACCACCGGCGTCCGAGATCGCCGATGTTATCGCTGGCTTGCCGACGTTCTCTGTCTGACAAAACAATGAGAACACGCTCACAGGCCGTTCTACAAGCCAATGCTGCCTTCCTTGAAGGGAGCTTTGAGACTATGGATCGTGAGTGTGCAAGTTCGGCCCATGTATCCAAGTCGTTTTCGAGATGTTTTTGCACATAAAACCTTCGTGAAGTCACAGAAGATAGCATGCTAGCTTGATTACTCTGGCAGGTTTAATGAATTTCGAGTTGGTTTGAGGCTCTATGTAATAGAATCACCGATCAACAGACAAATAAAAGTAACTGACAGGAATGCAATGGCAAAGCTTTCTTCTCCTTCCACTAAACTTCTAAGCAAGCGAGCAAGCTAAATAATCGGCGTGTATAAAAGGTGTAAACGCTTAGCTGGTGTTTCACCAAAGAACAAGCGCTAGTTCGATTTAATACATTCAGGAAACGACTGCTGCTAGATACTGTGGTGTGGCCTTGCAAATGCTGCGTATTGTGACGGCAGAAATAGATGTTGCATGACTTAACTTTTACAGATTTTCAGCTAATTCATTTGATACAAAAAAAGTAGACAACAACGGATTTAATCTTGGAAGTATCGTCTATCGTCTTCTATGACCTCGCACCATCTTCCAAGTACCGTGCAAATGCCGTCGCCAAAGAAGCTTGCAGGCTTCGAGGCAATAAAGTCATCATGGACGAATTTACGCACATCGTCCAGCGTCTCGAACTGTTTATCTACTAAGGCGTGCTGCTACTGCATTAAGCGGAACAAATGGTAGTCGAATTGGGCCAATTCTTGTGAATATGTCACGTGTAGAAGAACTTCCCCTCCCAAATTCGTCTTCTGAGCCGCGCGAGCAACGTGAGGTGGTCGAGCGTTGTCATGCAGCAGCAGTATGACTTGTCCGCTTCCTTGTCCAATAACTGACCTTTTCTGATCATGTTCTACGGCTGGTTTGTGCAATTGTCGGCTGTAACGTTCTGTAGTCACCGTCTGACCAGTTTCCAGGGGTTCGGAATAAAGTACACCCTTGATGTTCCACCAGATACACAGGATAACGTTCTTCCAGTTGATGTCCTGTTTCGACATCGATGTGCTGGGTTGCTCGGGATATAACCACGACCCCTTGTTTGCGTTTGAGATTCTCTTAAAACAATATGCTTTTCACCACTTGCCACAATCTTCCACGAGAAGTCCTTCCTTGTTGCCGACGGGCAAGCAGTGAGAGACATGTTTGCACACGTGGCCCTACATTGTGTTCTGTCAACATAGATATGGGAACCAACTTCCAAGTTTTGAATTTTTTCCATCTCATAGTGCAAACGCTCGGAAATAGCTATTCGGGTGACTCCAAACTGAGCTGCAAGCTCTTGTTGCGGTCGCGTTGAATCTTCATCCGCTAGAGCCTGTAATTCTGCATCTTTAAACCTTCGAGGCTGTCAAGGGTGCAACTCGTCAGTAAGATTGAAATCAACACTTCTGAAACGCTTGTACCGATAATTACACGTTTCATAAGACACAACGTCGGCGCCAAGAACGCTACATACTGATAACCCCAGTGCTGCAGAAGCATCGCTTTTTCTTGTTGGAATTCGTGTGGAATGCAGTGCCATCGAATGTGCTGTTTGTCAGTTGCCATCGTCGCAAACTCAGGTATTCTGAGGGGTTATGTAACCCGCGTAGACTTGTCATTCGGTGTTCCGAAACCTTGCGTGTGATCCTTTCAAATCCAGACAAGACCGCAAAAATATCTCCATTTTAAACATAATTTCCTACTCGAAGGAAAAATCTGTACAAATTAAGTCATCCACTTAATACTTTTATTTCTCACCTTCAAGCCAGGAGTGTCAGTGTCGGGAGGAAAGACGACAGTCACAGCCGGACCGCAGTCTTCCAGTTCCTGCTGAAGGACACTGGCGAAGGCGCCAACAGCGGCCTTGCTGGCAGCATAACCGGCGAAGCCGTAGATGGAAATGAGCCCGGCCAGGCTCGAAACGAAGGCGATTCGTCGTCGTTGGCAGGCGTCCGCGTCGCCCAGCATCGCGGGCAGGAGGGCCTTGGTGACGTGGACACCGCCCAGGTAGTTGATCCGCATCTGCCGCTCGAAGGCGTCCGGCGCGCACTCCTCGAAGGTGCGTGCCACGGACATGCCGGCGCAGTTGATGAGCACGTCAACGGTGCCCACTGCAGGCGGTGCGGAGTACGGACAGGGCATACGGACACACATCGGGGCAAAGCGCATGCAAGGCAGTGTGGCAGGTGCAGTTAATAACAAAAGCAAGACGCGACAGAGCAATCAGCGTTGTGGTGATGAATAATTTAGAAGCTTTTACGCAAATTAAACAATTGAAGGCTTAAATCCGAATGAAATACTAAATCCTAGCCAAATAAACGCCTTTGAAAGTGGTAACGTAATATTAAAATGCAAAAAAATGTGCCGGACATTGCTTGACCGCGTCGACATCCAGCGCAATGGATACAATCGCTCGCGCGATGATGCCGAATACGAGGTAAGTGTAGTATAAAAAGCAAGGTTATAAGGCCAATGTTCGTGATATCACGAACCAAGAGACCACAGACCAGCATAAGATCCCAACATTCCTACTCTTTCGTCGAAATTTCCATATTTTTATGCAGAAATTTAAATTCATCGTAGATTACGACACTTGTCATCTAGAGATGTGTGAGGCGACTCGGTATTCGTTCATAGAAAAGGCAACTATGATAATTATTAAGGTGCACTCACAACCCTACACGCATTTCGGGCCATAATACGTGAAAATAAAAGAGTTTACTGATGCAATGTTTATCAGACTAACCTTTGTGAGTGACAAGGAGACTTTCCTGGATAACATCAAAGGAGCCGGCGATATCCAAAGAGACCGTTCTTACATCGCAGTCGGCGCCAAAAGCCTCGATTAGCTTCCTCCGGGAATCAGCGAGTCTCGTGGCGTCCCGCGCGACAAGGGTCACACGACCGGCGCGCCGCCGCAACGCCTCAGCGGCCAGCGCTAGGCCAATGCCGGAGGAGCCACCGGTGATGAGAACATGACGACCTTCGAGGGTGACTTCACGCGGACGCTGCGATACCCACCACCGGACCAAATAAGCCAACACCACCGCGCCTTCAATAGAAACACGCAAATGTTTCACTAGGGTAGCTGTGTGTGGCGTTTGAAAGAGCCTTCATGCTGCACAACAAGCACCCAGGCTGGTAGGAATGGCAGTGCCAATGCACACGAAAAAAATACGATTGAATGTGCCAACAGGAGAGGTGGTACAAGAGACACTCGACATTAGCAAAACGGCAGATTGTTGTCGCAAAACCGCCATGAACGTATTTCGAACATGAAATCGGTCGTCTAGTGCCAAATTAACAACTTCTTTTACATTAAGATAGCAATAGAAGGGAGTAGCTAGAACAGGAAGCAAGCTAAACAGGATGAAGACGAAAATAAATTCATACGGATGGAGGAGCATTAGTAGCACATTAAATTGTAAAGCAACACTGAATTTAGGACTCGAAAGGCGTTCTAGAAATAATTTTAACTACTTATATGACACCACCGGTCTCCTCGGCAGAGAGAGCTAGAATTCACACCGCAAATTACAGGAACAATCGAAGATATTTTACGTAGGTCCTGTCAATCCTGACAAGTCACATTAACGGGAGGCTTTTTACTATGGCTGACAGCCACCATTCTGAGTTGCATGAACCTTACAGTTATAGAAACAATGGCTGTTCGGCAAGGTTGCTGGATTCCGAGAGTAAAATCTCATTTCGCGCACTAAGTAATCAAACGGTAAAAAAGTGTCCTTGTTGTTGCAGCTAGCAGATCATGGGTTCGAAAGTAAACACGCAATACGATTGCAATGTGGCATTTGTAATCGTGAAGAACACAATGAATTATTTCACCAAAAAACAGCATAATAAAAAGAAACGATTCTGTGGACACCATAGATTCAACAGCAACGTATTTTTTTGTTTTACCAAATACAAATACCACCGTAGCAAAAGTCATTTTTTATCAAGACCTCAGAGCTGAAGTCAAATACTCACTTGGGTTTCTACTTGATATTTTATCTGCTTAATATTTAGCAAAAGAAATTCACTCAACTACAATCAAAGGTCTCAGTTTAAGAACACTGAGGATTTCCATTACAACATCGAAAGATGGTGGATGTGACTGCATACACTATCGTTGATGCCTCGAAAAACACGGGCACATACGAACAGTAACCCTTGATCATGTTAAACGCGTATCTGCCCACATGTTCATCATCCATGTCACAGCATATTCGCGCCAAAAGAACTTTACTTGAAGAAGAATGAGAGTCAATACAAACCAATTCGCTTCAAGAAACAAATCCAGTTAGTTTGCGGAGCCACCAAAATCACATGACTTATAAGCAAATACCTCAAGTGCACTAATGAATCTCAGTGTTTGCATTTACAATCCCCAACACAAATCTTGTGTGCAGTCATTTTCCAAGTTTTCCAGAATTCATTTACTTGACATGTATCCAAAATCGAAAGTATGCACAAATACGTTGCATTAATGCGCACCGAACAAATATCAAAAAAACTATTACGTCAAGGGCATTTGCCAAAATGAGCTGAAAATACCCACCTGAAATGGCCAAAATCATTCACGATTTTAAGTGTGCTATGTGCAGCTCAGGAAACGAGATCACCAAGGTCGTTTAATGCCAAACAGCCAGTTAAGAGCAGAAAATTTTGTGGTAGTTAATTGAAGTTGACTGACCCCTGTAATCCTTTTGAAATGTAACATACGTTATTTCATAATTGGTATCAAAAGCCACTTTATAAAAATACGCAAGTAGCTGTTTACTTCTTCAGTTTTTTTACAATTGGGGTTTATAAAACGAATACCAATAATGAACGTTATTTTGAAACGGTAATTTGGAGTTTATAAAGAATTCTTCAGTACATCTTACGCATTTGCTAAATAGTACATTTATGCACATTTAATTATTGTAAATTTTGAACCATCACATAACTTAACTCAGAAAATTTTCAGCACTTCCCTAATGTTTTCTCACTCTGGGAAAAGGTCAACTTGCTGTCGGTTTCTAGACCCTTCTACTTTACTTCCACAGGCTAAATTTATCTGCAACTACTTTTACACAAATTCGACGGGATCAACAGGTCTGACAGCTCTTGCTCGCGGATTCCTCGAGAAATTCGTTCATCATAAATCTGTCCCTCACATTGATTTGTGCATTTTGGCCTAATTATCGCGCATTTCATATTATTTTGCTGTGAAATTAAGGAAACAAACCTATTAATTGGACTTAACAATTTTTAGCATGTAGATATGTCTTTTAATCTTTTGTTTAATTTAGATGAAATACAAATGTTTTTCTGCATGCATTTTTGGTAGATTGCTTTTCTGGTTTTATTTGAAAAGGTGACTCAATTTGGACATAATTTATTCTGTGATGCCATAAATTTAAAGGCAAAAGCTGCACTTAAGCATCATTATTAGAAGCGTAAGCGTCGAAATGTACATTTAGACATAGATTTATCTTATTTATTTATATATGTGATCAGTCATGCATAGTGCGTGTGATAGTGTATATTTTAGGCAAATGATCGTAGATTTAGTTACAAACACAGCGATTTTTTGGACAAGCATAAACGGAACAAAGTAGCTCCTGTTAAGCCACATTAAAATAAGAATTCCCCCAGGGACCAGCTAGTAATTAGTGTTCAGGTTGGGTTGTGAATGACGCTTAGAAAACTTGTAACGCTGCTTCAGTCAAAACAACTAACAGAGATATTGTTTGATACGTCTCGCATACATACTTAACTGTCTGCGATTAGACAAGACGAGAAGCATAAACTTTTATTAAAATGAACTTAAAAATATTGTTGGCAAATGTGACGCCTGCAATAAAAGTCGTGAGTTTGGATAGTTTATTTTAGATCAAAGGATTTCGAATTAGCAATAAATGACTTAAATTTCATTCACATACTTTAACAACAGATATGCATCGCAATAGAGACGAATGCTGCGGTGTGATTCATTTGTAGAAATCAATTACCTTAATAATACGATTTTTCATGTTGGCGTACAACCGATGAATAATCTGTTGTGGGCCCCAGCATGTGATCATGAACAGCATAGGTGTCACTGAGTTGGATCTCGCCCGATTACACTTCTCTGATACCCGCGATGAAGTTGAAGACTGGGGAGGACGTGGACACAGCCATTTACACCATTTACACCAATTTACACCAATTAGCCAATTCTGTGTCGTTGTGTCGTGTGTGGTGTTTGCGTGTATGTAGTTAAACCTCAGATGTGTGAATCACAGATGAGCTAACATCGAGACCTAGGTGTGAGGATAATCCTGGATACATGTTCGTGTTAAGGATGGAGGAGTTGAGGACGACATGTTGTGAAAAGGGGACCTTGTGTCGGAGACTGAAGTGACCGGATCACCGAGAACGAACCAACGTGGTTCACAACAGATCTTAGACGTTGACACGAAATTAGTTTCCCGTCTAAAGGTTCCGGATAATTTTGTGCAAATTAAAATTACATGCTGACATTTCAAGTAATGTAGGACATCAAAAATAAAAAAGTACATAGATAGCTATTCACAGTTGGAGTGAAAAAATTCTCTTTGAACTCATGACCTGAGAGATGCTTGCACGCGTTTACCAGGTGCACAAACCGATGAATATGAACAAGGAGCCAACTAACATAAGTAACTTAAACATATACGTGAAATTTCTGTTTAAAAGAAATTTCTGCTTGTTTGGGTGAGAAAACATTTGAATTAGGTGATATAATCTATCCCCCTGAATCCTAATATAACGGTATTGGGAAAAAAGGTTGTCTGTATTAAACCACCTAGTTACCCAAGTCCTTTGATCGGAGAGTGTGTGGATGGATATCGACCGGGTCTGCAGGTTGGAAAGACCACGGCGGCCTTGTTCAGCCACCTCCTTCAGGCCGTTTAACTCACATTAAAATAAGCATTCACCATGGAAACGGTAGCCAGGGAAGCGGTTGGGACGTGTGTGACGCTTGGATAACTTGACACTCTGGCGACAGCGAATTGCCAAAGTCGCGTTAGCGGCTGACAAGATCAAATCTGCACCCAGCATTAGGTAATATGCTACCATTATTATCTCATGGATTTTCTTCCAACGAGTCTGAAATAAGCTTTGTCACACAACCCAATGAAATTTAAACAATTTACTTGAAATTACTGAGAATAGCCTCAACGAACTTATTTACTCTTAATAGTTGTCAAATGTATTAGACGAATTTGCAACTCAAACCTGTGTTAAAATGAACTTAAAATCTTTGGTGCAAACAGCTGTGAAGTTGAACTACGCTAATTTGCGTCTAAATTAGGTAAGTAAATATAGACTGGTCGAAAATTTTCACTTTCATGCAGTCAAGCTATGTATTATTGTACTTGACTGTTGCCCTAATTTGGCATTTGTCTCGCGTACTGCAACTTTCGGCGCGATATTTGACCTTCATGCCTGGAGCGTCGCCATGTTGCAGGTCGTCTGCTTTCTGCATTAATTATGAAATCCTTTTCGACTTTCATAACCATCCTTGAAGCTGTAAGTGGTGTCGAACAGATTCTTTGATCAAGTAATGACAGCATGAGTTGCAGACATGTGGGATGTTGCCACGAGCTCAGCCAATCCCCTACTTGGTTTTAATGGCGCATGAGGAAGACCAGCTGCCAACCAGAGACAGGGGCGGATGCGAAGCATGTAGATAATGCAAATCGGCAACAGAAACTTGGACGCGTTTGGCCGAAAATGGTCGCTAGCATGTTGCGAAAGCCTGTCGCGTTCTGCGCGGTGTAAACAGATGGATGCACTTAAACACCAACGAATGTAATGAGAAAAAGTGCAAAATCGGCAAATTGCTGGTCTCCAATATGAAACCCGCAAGGGGATATGAAGACGCGTCAAACATGAATTTAGATATCCACGAACTTAGATATTTCGGTGGCGTGGATAGAAATGGTACACACTCTCACCGTTTCTTAATCCCACTTTACCCATCACAGCAGAAACTGCAAATTAGTCAAGAGCATCGGTCGTCACTGTTACAGCCTATTTGTCGGTTAAGAAGGCGACGCTAAGGGCAATTTCAAAACTGGCGCTCAAGAAGCAATAGAGATCACTTAAACAACGATCACTAACATGGTAAATGCTACAATGCTGGACAAAAGAACCGATTCTGTAATGCAATATTTTCATTAGTGCCCGTTTTGAAGGTCAATGCCTGATATTTAGTTAGAACAAATGCTGAGTAAAGCCATTAGATTCTAATTGTTGCTAATTTCGCCAGCCCATCCCACTGAGAACGTAATTTGAATTCAACAATCACTGGACAGAGCTTGACGCCATTTGATTTTCATACACACTCTAATAATGCCATAGCTACATCTGCTAAACAGTTAGTACAAAATATTAACTAAGAGCAGAAGGGTAAATTGATCACCCTTTTCAATTGCGATGTGACGTCGTGTGCAGAATATATGAAAATTGAAAAAAAAAAACGCTATTTCGATCCACGCTGTGAATTACTGACATCCCTAAAATTTGAAATCCTTGGTAAATGACTCATCGTTTTTTGCTGTATTCTGTTAAAATTGATTACATCCATTAGATGCGACCTGTTCTACTTGCACGGGTTAAAGCAGACGCAATCAGTAACAGATTTATCCAACTAAGATATTAGGTCAGCTGTGTGAATTTGGCTTTTTGGTTTACTGTCATTCTGATTATCATTTATTCGACCCAAATTGAAGCATTTCGAACTCTAGTCAACAAAATACTCAAAAATTAATCGGCATATTTACACAATAAAATATGTTTTGACTTGGACAAACCAGATACATCCTAAGGCCGAATAAACATCCAATTTAGAAGAAATGATTGAATTCAAAGGTCTTTTATTTAAAGAGAAAGATATCGCCCAGTTAAAAGGAGGCAAGACGCGGACAAAGTCGTCTAGGTGCTTTTGTGCGAGAAGGAAACAGACACACTGATGATAAATGTGAGTGCGATCGTCGCTGCTACCGTCGCCAACCACTGACCCCAGAAATCGTACTCAAAATACGGCAACACAAGAGTTCCAGCGAAGCACAAAAGCAAACCAAAGGTGGAGGTTACTAAGCATGCAATGCGAAGCCAGGCGGGGTTCTTGAAAAAGCTGACGAAGTAGGTGATTGTTGTGGTAACAAGAAATATCGCTGCGACGAGTAGGATGATTCCTTGAATTCTCAAAGCATCATTTGGGCAGTCAAAAATATTACTGCAGTCTTTGGTACCGACGGCAACTACAATGACGACAAAGGTGGCGGCAGTTGTCACCGCAACCAAATTCACCAACTTGGCTGTGTTCATTTGGTGTCTGCTTCGTATTCATGCACTCGTGCCCTACTTGCGTGCCTTTTAAAGTCGCTCAATCGTGGCCTTCGTGTGTGTGGAGATGTGAGCATGACCTGATGATTGGATGATGGATACCACTGAACTCTTGCTGTAGCACACATCAATGAAACCATTCATGATGTGACTTGACTCACCAATCAGCAGTGGAGGATCCTAGGGAATTTTGACTTTCCAAAACGTGGTGTGGTTCACTAATCAGCCTTGTTGCATTTTGGGCAACACTGAGACTTGATCTTAAGAAAATGGCCATTATTCAATCCTGTTGCGTTTTCACTGAATCTTAATATAGTGAAATTATTCGGAAGATAAAATCCACAGTCGCTCTTCCAAAAAATTCAACTCAAAAGATTGTAAAAACCAATTTCCACATACCATATCTGCCCTAATAAAGCATGAGTAGGAAAAACAGGCAGAGCACATGGGCAATGTGACATTCTGCGCTGAACACAATAGAAATTGCGTCTGCAAATAATTGTTTGTGCAGCCATTCGGCTGAACTAGAGTATCCTCCACCTAGTTGCAATCTACCAGCTATTGCTCTAGCATCGTCATCAAGTGAAATATTACGGCGATTTAGCGTAGGGGTTCACGCCCAGAATCACCATTACAAATCTGATGTAAATGGGCATGATTTCACCAGATTGAGACATGAATTCGTCATTTCTCTCAAGTGTATCACAGCCAATTACTGAATGATTTGGCATCTCCATTTTTGCCGGTTCTTTTGACAATTAGTGGACGGACACGAAACAGCAGTTGATTCTTCCCTCACCCGATTGAATTTATTGACCATCCGGGTAGGCTTAATTCTTCGAAGTACAGTAAAAGTTGTCGCTTAAGTCAATCATCTTGTCATTCATTCTAACCTAAGCATATTTGCAAGAAAACTCTGCTTGTTGACTGCAGAGCCAAGATTTCAGGGTTCAGTGCGCTGTGACTTAGTAAACCCACACACGCGCCACTGGTAATTACATCAATCACCTGATTTCACATGTTTAGTCAGGTCAGGTGTGAGTGGGCGTGCCTAAGCATGTGCTCATCATTTGCCCGCCATGGTTATAGCTCTCTGTACGAGGTCTTCTCATGTAAAGGTGCTCAATCGTGTGTGTTTTTTTTTCTGGATGGCGTGCTACACATGACAGTTCAATTTTTGAGCTTACGATCCTGCTGGTTAACCGCAGCAAGAACCTATCTCTTAATCAGTTTCACGCACACTTCCAAATTCATGCCGTTGGTCGTGATGGACATTTCATTGGCATCCTTTTTCGATTACCCAGAGCTATGTCAATGCGTCTAAACCTAACAACGTGTTAAATCGTTTAATTCAACCTGACTGCAGTTATTGTTTACAGGGAAAACTGAAAGTTAACTTTTGCGACACTTTGCTTTGAAGACAGTCAAATTTGCACACATTACATACTTCCAGACATTCTCTCCTTTGGTATCTAGATTTATTGAATATCCACGAACACTTAGAGGCACATGTATGCGAATTTTTCTCCAATCAGACAAATAAAGCGAAACCCGGTGTGTCCGCACCGCAGATTAGCCAATCTCCACTTGTGAAACATTTGAAAATCCGAGCAAAACAGGTTTATTTAAATAAGAGAAAAAGGCAATACAATGTACAGGAAATTAGATATGACAGTAGCCTAGGCACTTTTTTGCGAAAAGGACAGTGATACACTAATAATGAATGACAGTGTGATTGTCATCGCGACCGTTGGAAGCCATTGTACCCAAAAACCAGGCTCCACCAAGGGAAACACAAGAGTTCCTGCGAGGTTGAACAGCACACCGGAGATCCCCATTATGAGAGAGAGGAGGATTATCCATAATTTGTCCTTAAAAAAGCTAATGAAGTAGGTGATTGCTGTGGCAACAAGAAGTATCGCCGCGAACAGCAGTAAGAGTCCATGTACACGAAAGATATCATGCTGACATTCCAAAAAGCTTGTGCAATTTACAATACCCCTAGCAAGTACAATGATGAGAAAGGTGGCGGCACTTGCCACTGCGAATAAATTCACCAACTTGGCTGTGTTCATTTGGTATTCACTTCGTATTCACGCACCCATGACCCACTTGCGTGCCTTTTAATGTCGCTCAGTTGTGGCCTTCGTGTGTGTGTGTGTGTGTGTGTGTGTGTGTGTGTGTGGAGACATGCACACGACCTGATGATTGGATGATGGCTTCCATTCTACTCTCACTGAAACACAAACCATGCAAACCGTTCGAGATGTGACTCAACTCGTTGATCAGCATTGCCACTGCTTGCCACATTTTGTGTAGTGTTCCTTGTAGAAAGAACACTACACAAAATGTGGTCACGCAGGATTCTAACCGACACATGCTTCAGTTTGTACGAAAACACGTGAATGTGCATTTCATGGAACATTCACATCCACTCCGTAGCAATATGGTCTTATTTTGCCTAATTTCCACTGATAAATAAAACGCTTGGTTTGAATCTGTCATGATTCGTTTCATATTGGTACGATACACGACGTTAGCTTGGACCTATGAAAAATGGACGATGTTTAAGGAAAGGGCTTTGGGATGATCAGGCTGTACTGGAAGAAGTGTTTGTCTCAAAGAAGTCATTTTTATCAATGAAATTGCCTAGAAACGTTACTTTGAACAACGGGATCTTCGTTAACTGTAAAGTCGCAGCTGTATCTCGAAGTGGTTTCCATTTAGGCATGATTCAAAATGGCGTTGAGGTGAAGCGTTGTCAACGGAACAGTATTGGATGCACACCAACATTTCAGCAAAATACATGCTTGAGCTAACCGTGGTCGAGGTAAGCAATAACCATTCAGCCGCTAATCTTCGATTGCTGTTCAGGGTCTTAATTTCAGCTGGATGGATTTCAAGTTCAAAGACGTTCGGCCTAAAATTGATTTCGAGCAATTACCCTACGGCAGTGCTCAGTGCAACCGGTTGCAGGTCCAACCAGTGGAATAATCTGCGTTTTCTGTCTACCTAGGTCCAAGCTGTGGAAGACCACAGTGGAAGTGGTGTTTAATGCAGTTTAGCTGACTGCATTAACCTACTCTAGCTTCTCTGAAATCTGGTTTCACAAGTCCTAGTCGGTTGCAGGTACACCAGTGGGAATTGTCCATGAAGAGCAAGTGAAAAATCTCATTAGACGTTTGTTGGCCCATGTCGAAGTCTACCGATTCAAGCAGCATCAGAATCATCAATGTAGGACCCAAGTCCACACGGACTGGTCCTGCTAAACACGTCAATTCTACTCGGCTGACACATGCTGCGAAGGCCACCATTGGCCTAAAGCATAACCATGCACTTACCTCCGACTCTAACAATGCAGTTGGACAAACTCCCTAACATGAGCTTTTCGACAGATAGTGCTTCCTGGAATTCCGTAATCATCTGAGTAAGTCCTGTTGTAAATCCTGCTTCTCCACGTCAACTATAGTGCCTGTCATTCCACCCTACGTAACTTGGAATGATCCGATGAACTCTGATTTAGTTCTACTACACCAAGGCCTCCCACTGACCACATACATCACCCGAGTTCACAGAAATAGTCAAGAAATGACCACCTATGGCCTGTTTGTGAGCCTAGGTCATTGAATTTACAAACGAGACCTGTGAATTAACAAAGGGAAAGACACAACCTGTAAACCCTTGTGCTAGAAGTAGCCGATTGACTCACAGTTACTAGCTTCAATCATCTTAGTGCTTTGATGCGCTTGTCCCAAGTTTGGGCGGCTGGAACATCAAATTGTGAAAAGCACTTGCGCCAGTACAGCAATGGAATCACCTCATCAATTCATAACCGATTGCCAACTAAGTAAGATTTGAAAATCCGTGGTAATAAAGCCATTACAATCAAAGTTTTATTCACGACTAAAGACATACAAGAGCCGATAGCAAACAGTGAGGGCAGCACAATAGATGTCTAGTTCTTCTTCTTTGAGAAGGAAACCACTACACTGATGGTGAATGAGAGTGCTATCGTCGCTGCAATGGTTGAAAGCCATTGCCCCCAAAACTCTGGTGCCAAGTAGGGATACACAAGAGTTCCCGCTAGACTCGACAGCACACCCAGAATGCCCACTAGCACATAGGAAATGCGTATCCAGAATGTGTTCTTGAAGAAGCTGACAAAGTAAAGTATTGTCGTGGTAACAAGGAAAATCGCTCCGACAAGCAGCAGAATGCCATAAATTCGCACCGCCTTATCACCACATTCGAAAACGTTGCTGCAGACCTCTATCCCGATGGCGAGTGCGATGATGAGAAGGGTCGTGGCACTTGCCACTGCAAGCAAATTCACCAACCTGGAGATGTTCATTTGGTATCTGCTTTGTAAACACGCACTCATGCCCTACTTACGTGCCTTTTAAAGTCGCTCAATCGTGGCCTTCGTGTGTGTGGAGATGTGAGCATGACCTGATGATTGGATGATGGATACCACTGAACTCTTGCTGTAGCACACATCAATGAAACCATTCATGATGTGACTTGACTCACCAATGAGTAGTGGAGGATCCTAGGGAATTTTGACTTTCCAACATGTGATTTTAGCAAACCGGAGAACTGCTATTGAGCATGTCTTATCACTTCTTGGTAGATCCTCTATGTAAATGATTCACGTTTTATTTGGGTGAACTCATTCGGGAGATGAAACGGCCTAATTTAAAAGTTGATGCGAGCCATCAATTAGTCCGACAATAACGAAACAATGGCGAGGCTTTTTTGTAGATAATAATGCCTACCATGAGAATGCCAGTCAGTAACTGGCAGGTCGTACGATGATAAATCATGACCACCTCGTTCTCAATCAGACATCACCTTTCTACTTCGACATGCAATGAATAACTAGCCAAAGTAAGCAGTAAGGCGTGAGCAGCTGCAGTAATGGTTCAATTTAGCATAAACGATTGTAGAAATCCACTACCACGTGCTAAATCTGTCCTATTAAAGGTTGAGAAGGGCAGCCAGACAGAGCTCATGAGTAATGTGAGATTCTACGCTGAACACACCAAAAATTGCTACTGAAAATAACTGTTCGGCCAGGCATTCAGTAGAACTAGAGTTCCCTTCACCTAGTCGCCACTAATTCTTCATCTTTGTGGCTATGAGCGTGCTGATGACATCAAGCGAAATATTGCGGCGACTTAGTGCAGGGGTTCACAGCCAGAATCACCATCACTAACCTAATATAAATGCGCATGATGTTTCCAGAATGGGACACGAATTCGTCGTATCTGCGTAGTGTATCACAGAAAATTACTGAATGAATCGACAGTCGCAATTTCGCCCGTGCTTTCAACAATAAGTGGACGGACACGAAACAGCAGTTGATGCTTCCTATGCCGGGTCGAAGATATTGATCATTTGAGTGGCCATGATTCTCAGCAATGCATGTTCGCTTACTCAGAAGATGAAGGTTAAATTTGTTGCTTGGGTTAACCATCGTGTCAGCCATTCTAACCCAAGGGTACTTGCAAAAAAACCCCACCAGCAGCCTCCAGCACCAGTATTACAGGGTCCGGTGAGCTGTGATATAGGGCACTCACATTGGCGTCATCCGGTTTCACCCGTATAGTCAGGTCATGTATGACCCGTGAGGGTCAATGTGTGAGCCAAGGTCAGTACACTCAGAAATGAGACTTGTGAAACATGTCTAACCCATGTGTGCCTGTTGCAAGTGCATTCACATCACATGAGGAGAGTATCAAATCATTCCAAAAGTTGTCAAACCAATTTAGCCAGGAACGACGCTAAGCCTGTATGCACCAGGTAGTGGATGACTTTCCCAGCACTGTCCACTCCACAGAGTTCTGGAAAAAGAATTTAATTTCAGTGCAGTGGACAACCACTGTTGCAGCACAATTACTAGTGATCCGGTTTTCAGGAAGAATGCCGACACTACCAAGGAGAACCAATTCCGGTGATCTGATGTAATGAAACCTGCTGAATTTCATATTGTCCAGCTAAATTAGGTATGATTGATTCGTTTATTAGAAATCCCATCACGGTTAAATAACTACACGTTCACGTGGCTAATGCTCGATTCTTTCCGTAGTTCCATTTTGAAACTGACTTGCTATTGGTCGGAGAACATACGCGAACAAATGAATAAGCTGTATGATTTTGTGCCAGAAACATCCACTCAACTTACAGCTCGCACATTTAATCTTTCTGTTCTTTTAGTTTTACAATTCAATATGTTTTGAGAGCCCATTAATGTGTACAAACCACGACGAACCTGCTATTAATTGCACTCGAATCAGCTACCTTCAGCCTATCTGCGATATCTACTGTACTATCTCAACAAAGATGTTGCACCGTTATGATATACCTAAAATTCGAAGAATCATT